TCTGAAATATCGATCAAAAATTCTGAAATTTTTAGGGATGTTAATTAAGACTGTCGAAAAAATATATAGCAAAATTTAGGAATTTTAGGTGCTAATTTTTCTATTTTATCCAAACGCGCGCCTTAACACTACTGCGCCCAAAAATTCAATTCCCTCAAGTAATACGAGGGAAAGAAAAAATAAGGGGAGATATTGTCAAAAGTGCCAAACAACAAAAAATAAAATGGATTAACTTTTGCCATTGTTTTGGTAAAAAAAATATAAATATAATATTATTTTTTTTTATAAAAATATTTTTGACATTTTCCTTTTATTACAATTTTTAACTTTTTATTATTTTTTAATTAAAACTTTTTTTATTTGCGTGTATGTATTTAATAAAACATAATTAATATTTTACTCGAAATATTTCTTTGAAATACAAAAATCAGAATTTCCGGAAAACACATATTAAATAATAAAAATCAGAATTTCTTGTAAATAAAATACAAATGTAAACACTTACCAGAATTTCCTTGCGAAATACAAAACCAGAAATACATAAATCAGAATTATTAAAAATACAAAATTAGCAAAATACAAAAACCAGAATTATCAAAAATACAAAAATCAGAATTATTAGAAATACACAGTTTTTTGCAAAATACAAAACCAGAATTTTTGTTTAAGTTCTAAATTTATGCTTAATTAAATAGACAATTTAAACAATCACATGTACTTTGGTTTAAGCTTTGTAACTTTTAAACAGTTTCATATTTTTAAATAATTTAAATTTCTATTAATTCCTATCTCTTTGAATTATTTTTAAATATTCATCTTTCCCAAAAATAATTTTTGGACTAATAAATTTTCACACGTCATTTACAAGAAGCACCTTTTTAACTATAACTCATTAAATTTTTAACCTAACAAGATTCTTTATATATCATTAAATAAAGGATTAAATTTGCTATAAAATGGATATAAAATCAGAATTATAGTTTAAAGATTTGTAAATTTATGGTTCAAAAACTGAGAGAAACTAGCAGTTTTCTTCTAGTTCTTAGACCAGAATTTTAAAATAAAATTCTGATTTTTTAAAATAATTTATTGATAATTCTTTCCTCTATCCAATAAATTAATAAAAATTAAAAAAATAATTTTTTTTTGCTAAAATTTCAATTTTTCACTCATTTTCCTCTCTCAAATTTAAAATAAAAATTATTTTAGAGATTTATTTAAATTAATTTTGCTTGCCTTGTAAATTCGATAAATTATTTATTTTAATTAAAAAAAGAAAAAAATAATGGGCGAACTCGACGAAAAAGCTACAGCAGACGAATTAGCTTCGTTTTGTGCGAGTGGAAGAACAGGAAGGTTGGAAAGACAAAATAAACTTTTATTAAGGCGATAATTAATTGGAATACATTTTTAAGTAAAATACAAAATCAGAATTAAAAATACAAAAATCAGAAATGTCAGAAAATTATAAACAAAACACATATATTTTAAAGACAAAAATCAGAATTTATGGGAAAATACACAAAATCAGAATTTCTGTTTAAAATAAAAACCAGAATTTTCTATAAAATACAAAATAATAATACCAGAAACAAAAAATCAGAATTTTTATTTAAAATAGAAATCAGAATTTTCTATATGAAATACAAATTTGAAACACCTGAAGAAAATAAGAATTTCAGAAAAAATCAGAATTATCAAAAATACAAAATTAGAATTATAAAAAATACAACCTATTAAAAACACTACAAAACCAGAATTATCAAAATACATAATCAGAATTTCTATAGAAATACAAAGTCAGAATTATCAAAAATACAAACTCTTTTTAAAAATACAAAAAATCAGAATTTCTGATATTTACAAACACTTTTCTTATAATTAGAGACAGGATTTTTAGGCACGATAAAGTTAAAAATAGGCGCCTATATAGGCATTAACAAACTGCCAAAATAGGCACTAAAATTCGAAATAAAGGCAAAATAGGCAGTATTTTTTCGAGGTGTTCTTATCTAAATTGACTAAATTTTATCAAAAAAGATAAATTTAAGCAATAAATTGTTAAATAAATTAATTTTGACGATCAGAATTACATATAAATTAATTTATATTAATTATTTTGTAACCAAAAATAATTTGATAAATTTTTCAGAAGAAAATTTTTCCGAAAAAAATTTTTTGACAAAAATTTTTTTTAAAAATTTTATATTTTTTTCCAAAAATAATTTTTTAGACAGCAATTTTCTCAAAAAATGCGCAAAAATTCGTAAATTTTAGTAAAAATATGCAAAATAGGCTGAAAATAGGCATAATAGGGCATTTTTTCAGAAAAAGCTAAAATAGGCAATTTTAGGCAACGATAAGTTTAGTTAGAAAGAAGATTTCAGTAAAATAACACCAAATTTGAACGTTTCAGCATCAGGCCTATTTGGGAAAAAAACAGGCATTTGCCTAAAAATCCTGTCTCTACTTATAATGTGTTTTTCACAGGAGAAATGCTTTACCAGAATTAGACGTAGAAAACACATCCAGCAATAATAACGAACAAAATGAAAATACAGAAAATAATTTAGCAGAACGTTTTTCTAAATTGGAAACAACCCCAAATACAGAAGAAACAAAATTAAAATTAGATGAGTGCCAAAAATGTACTTCTTCAACCTCTCAAATTAATGAAACGAGGGAAAAAGAGGCATCACAAACTTGATCAAATAATTTTTACTTTTGTATTTAAATTTAAAAAATAAATTGCTTTAAATTATTGAAATTTTTTAATTAGTGGTTACTAGGAATGGGCTGGTGAGAAAAAAAGTCGAGCAGTTTTTGGGTCGGGGTTTTACGATTTTATTCGGATCGGGTTTCAACTTGAACTCTTTAAATATATGGCTAGCGCCCCTTTAAGCATGTTCAAAGCAGCGGAGCGGGCTTAAACTACTAACTCTAGCTTGGACCTAGACGAGATCTCGATCAAGAATCTTGGTTATCGAGATCGAGATTTTTCAAGAAAATAATCTCGATTCTCATACGATCCCCCTATTCCGGTCTCTACTACTAAAAGGCATAAACCCTTCTCCACATTTAAAAGCCAAAAAACCTTTAGTTAGGGTGATTTTTAATGAAATTAAATTTTTAAAATTATTAAGAAAACAATAACCAAAAATTGTTTTGAAAAATTATTTGCACATTTAGAATGTCGAACCTCACTATAAAATATACCCAATATTAAATATACCCCCAATTTAGGATACGTTTTTAAATTTAGGTGTACACGAAGGAGCTTCCAAATACAAGGCCGAAACTGATTTTAAAAAGGGAAAGGCGAAACACGAAGGAAGCGAAATCGGTGGAAGACGGTAGGCTAACTCACACCCTTGCTCCTAAATCCTTAGTCTAACGACTTTAGACAAAGGACCTCCTAAGTCCTCACCCTTACAATTAGTCCCTTTATTTTTTAAACCAAATGGAATTTTATAGTGAGGTCCGACATTAATTATTTTATGAACTTTTATCTATTCCGTTCCTCCATTATTAAAATTTCCACTAAAATTGTGTTGGTGGTTAGTCCCATCACTATTATTATTATTGTCATGGTCCTCAGCATTATCGTCAATAACCAACTGACGACCCTCGGGCGAATAAGGAGTTGAAGTTCGGGGAGGAATTCTTTGAGGGGATGACTAAAAATTGAAAAAATTGTTTAGATTTTTGTCCGAAAAAATTTTTTAACTTTAAGGATATAGCTAACAGACTTCTTTTCTCACCACGTCTTATACCTGATAGTTAGAGTTATCACGATTTCCTCTTAGTCTGTAAAGGTACAAGCGCAGACCAGCAAGTACTGCTAGCAAAGTAGCAGGTTCAATTCCTGTCCGTTCGCTAACTTTTATTAGGGTACACCCCAACCTTCCGCGAGGCCAACCTACCGCCGAGATATAACTTCGTTCAGAATTGTTGAATCCGGGCACCCTGGTATGGTTCGATGCGCCTCGACAAGCTGAATCGAACCATACCAGGGCGTCCCGGATTCGATAATTCTGAACGAAGTTATATCTCGGCGGTAGGTTGGCCTGCTCCCCTTTTATCAACTCTTAGTGGCCTTTTCCATGAGGAATAAGGGAAAAATAATGAATAAAGGAAGGGGTTTCTTACAAGACAGACCGTCAAGTTGGTCACAAAGATGTTTTCACTAATCTGACCCTAAAAGCACTCTTCTAACCCTTTTAGACTTCAAAATTTTACAAAATTTTGTATTACTTGTTGATTATTATAGTCCGTTTCTTCACAAATTTCTACTTTGTGTTCACTAATAATTTTAGAATCTTGTTGGTCTCTGTTGGCCTGACAAGTTGAATTTTCAGAGATTGGGGACCATTGAGAATTATTTGAATTATCTGCAGTACAGCCATCGAAACCAGGCTGGCTAACTCTTCCCCCACATTTTTGTTGAGGCGATAGTTTATTTGGTACAGGGGATTTAGAAACTCCCCGAGAAGATGAAAGTGGGGGTTGTTGTTGATAGGAATTATTAGAGGAATTATTAGCTGTAGAAGTCTCTCCAATTGTGGGTGTTGTGGCTGCAATTGAGAAAGGAGGAATACCCCCAGCAATATTATAGGGAATTGAAGGAATGGAGCTGAGAAAGTTTGGAGGGGGCGAAAATTCTGAAAATTATTAAAATAATCTAATTTTACAAGGAAAATTTCTTCTTTGAAAAAGAGAATTAGAAACATGAATTGATAAGGATTAAACTATACTTTCCCCTTTGGGAATGTCTAAAGCTCATTGTATAAACGTGATAGTGTATAGTAAAGTGTGGTTTGGAAGTTTTTTTAAAAGAAATTTGAATGTTTCTTAACTGGCCTCCCATCACTGATAAAGATTAAACTATTCATGTTTTTCAACTGGGCTAACTGCGTGAAGTACAGTCAAAGTCAGAGGGAAAGTGTTATTTTTATAACAGAGTAAACTACATAGTAGTATAACTAAAATCACATTCAATTTTAATTAATTAAAACACCAAAAGAAGGCCCTCCTCCAACATTTCCATGATGCAAAGAAGCAGCTGATGAACAAGTTGTTGGGGGCGAAGAAAATCCAGCTGCCGCTGCGAAATATTGTGGATTCCGCATCATTAAGCCTTGATAGGCCATTAAAGCGGTTGCATTATTAACTTGAAATAAAAATTTTTTCTTCGTAATTTTTCTCTATCAACTAATTAACCTTAGATTAATTATCCCCTCCAGAGAGAGGTAAGAAAATAAATACCCTCCCCAAATTCCCTACAGGGTGTTCAAAATCCAAAACTGCCCAGTTTCAATTAATTACTCCCTCTAGCGAGAGGTTGTAATTACTCAGTAATTATTTGGGCACTATTAAGCACATTTGACCTTTTGTAATATGCTAGATAAAGGAAATGGGGCCTGATAACCGAACAGGTTAAAAAATTTTCGTTAGAAACCAAAATTTGCAGCAGCAGAAGAATCAGTCTCTAGCGAAGAAGGGACAGATGCTGTTGTAGTCGATGCTTGAGGCACAGTAGAAATACTCCTTTTTGGTTGTTGGGGAAGATTATTATTTTGATTAACGAAGAATTGGTCTGTGAGTAAATTTAGAGGAAGTGAAGGTGGTAAATTATTTTGGGGATGAAGTCCAAAGGAATCTTGAAAAAGATTTTCAAAAAATTTTTTTTGGAATTTTTCATAAAAGATTATTGGGTCATTTTTCAAAATTAAAAAAAAGATTTATTCTCATACCTTCGCCAACTCCAGCTAAAGCAAAAGCTTGTGGAATAGGAAAGCGTTGCTGTAGCGCAGCCAATCGGAACGTCAACAATTGGTCTTTATTTACACAATTCTAATAAAATAAATTCCAAAAGAATAATAAAAATTAAACACCTGTAAACTTTCCGGAATTGATCCGGATAAAGCATTACGAACTTCACGAGCTGCAGAAATGCGCAAATCTTTTAAGGACTCTTCAGAGAACCAAGCTGCAAAACTTGGTGTGCAAATAACATTTGGAGAATTTAGAAGAGCTTCTAATAAAAACAAATGTTTATGTTGAAACCAGAATTTTTCCGGAAAACATTTAATTTCTAAACAAAACCAGAATTTTTCCGGAAAACATTTAATTTCTAAACAAAACCAGAATTTTTCCGGAAAACATTTAATTTCTAAACAAAACCAGAATTTTTCCGGAAAACATTTAATTTCTAAACAAAACCAGAATTTTTCCGGAAAACATTTAATTTCTAAACAAAACCAGAATTTTTCCGGAAAACATTTAATTTCTAAACAAAACCAGAATTTTTCCGGAAAACATTTAATTTCTAAACAAAACCAGAATTTTTCCGGAAAACATTTAATTTCTAAACAAAACCAGAATTTTTCCGGAAAACATTTAATTTCTAAACAAAACCAGAATTTTTCCGGAAAACATTTAATTTCTAAACAAAACCAGAAACAAACTACCTTCAATTTTTCCCGTAGATTCAGTTTGTTGACTATCACCACAACAGGGAATATCTAATGCAGCAGCTTTAACATGCCCAGATTTCAGGAAAGATATTAATGCTTGTTGGTCAATTAAATCAGGGTCGCTAGTGTTAATAAGAAAAGCACCAAATTTTAGGCGATCCAAGGTGCTCTTAATAAAAATTACATTTATTTTGGATTAAATTTCAATAAAAACATTATTTAACATAAGCCTTGTTTCTGGTGTAAGTTTACAATGGAGTGTAAGACAGTCTGATTGGGTGAGCATGTCTGTGAGATTTTCGGTACGATCAACACCAAACACTCTATCCATACCTTTTTTTAAATTTAAAATTAATTTTAAATTAAACGATAAATATAAACCTAAACTAGCGTTTGGATCATAAAAACAAACTCGGAAACCAAAGGTTTTAGCACGCAAGGCGACTGCACAACCAACCTTTAAATTTATAAGGTTAAACAGAATAAAAATAAAACAAAATTTATAAGCATTATAAGTGCCCTGGAAAAAACAATGTTTCTTTACAGGTTTATTTCCGGAAAAACATTAATATACGTAATTGTTTGTTTTCCGGAAAAACATCAAGTTGTTTTTCCTGAAAATAAAATGTTTTGTTAAAATAAGGTTGTTTTCCGGAAAAAAGTTTCCGGAAGAACCTGGAAAAATGTTTTTCTGAGAAAATGTTTTTCCCAAACATATTGTTTTCCGGAAAAACATGTGTTTCTTTCGAAAAATTAATGTTTAGATAAAATATTAAATGTTTTTTCCGTCAAACTTCTTGCTTTCCGAAAAACATCAAATACATTTCTGGTTTAATGTTTTCCGAAAAATGTTTTTCCAACATGTTTTTGCGGAAAATGTTTATTTAACAAGTTTTTCGGAAGAAAGTTTCCACAACAAGTTCAATTAATAAAATGTTTTTAAATGTCTTTGAAGAAACAGAAAACCAGAAAACAAATGTTTCCAATACAATTAAATAGAATTTCCAACGTCCATAAAGAGAAATAATTTTTTAAGGAAATTAAAATAAATTCCAAATTAAATTTAAAAATTTTCCTCCAATTTTCATTATTTTAGGGCAACAAATTTTTAACAAAATTACCCTTCCAAAGCCAACAATCCCAAGTGTTTGCCCACGTATTCGGCGTGTCCCACTCATCCCTTCCCTTAATTCTTGCGGATTCTTGAGCTGGAATAATTCAAAATAAATAAAATAAAAGAATTGGTACATTTGTCGGCTTAGTTTTATCAGCCGATCCCTGAGCAAGCCAATAAGTTCGTCGATAGAGGTTAAGTATAAGAGACATTGTGTGATCGGCAGTTTCTTCTAAGGCATCGGCAGGGGTGTTACAAACAGCAATTCCTTTAATCAGAAAAATTCTTGAAATTTTCTCTCTAAACCTAATTGAGTAGCTGCATCGACATCAATATTGCTCAAATCAGGATTTCCTATTTTTACTAGCATTTTAAGGGAACGAAATTTGACTAGATCTTCTCGAGTTATTCTAATTGTGTAGAGGAAGGCGGCTACAGCTTCGTTTAGTACCTAAAGAATAATTATAAGACAAACATTGTGTTTTCATTCCGGAAAGATGTTTATTTGGTTTATATAAATGTGTTTTCCGGAAAATAAAAGTAAACCAGAATTATATATTAAATTACTGAAGTAATGTTTTTCCGGAAAACATTTTTCTAATAAGTTTTCCGGAAAATGTTTTACAATGTTTTTGTAAAATGTTTTTGTAACGTCTTGCGTTAAATCTTTTCTCAACAAGTTTTTCCGGAAATCTTTTTCCAACATGTTTTTCCGGAAATGTTTTTCGGGAATGTTTTGGAAAATGTTTACCAAAAAGTTCTCAAGTTTTTCCGGATGTTTTTATTAATGTTTTTAGAAAAACATAAGAATGTTTTTGTGAAAAACAAACTTTTGTGTTTTAAGTATATGTTCTCAATGTTTATTTCCGAAAAATACAAAACAGAGAACTAAACATTTCTGAAACAAAATCTCATGTTTTTCTAAAATTCTGATTTAAGCTTAATTAAAATCAGAATATTTAACTGAATAAAATACTTATCAGAAAAACATTTAACTTAGCGTAAAAATGTTTTCCGGAAAGAAAAACATTTTTTAAAAACATTTTTTCCGGAAATGTTTTCCCATGTTTTTGTAATAAAATCAGAATATTTTTAGAGGGGAAATGTTTCTATAAACTTTAGTTATATAAATAATACTTTTTCGTGTATTTCAGTCGTTAAGTGGGCATCACAGAAGGCTACAGTTGCAATATCCTGAGATCATTTTAATAATTATTTTTATTATTAAAATACAGGGAATTTTCTAATAAAAAATTTTTTTAAAATTTTTGTAAACCTTTAATAAAGGCATTTCTACAGAACAATCACGTCCATCAAGTAACGCTACTAAAGGTTTATTAGAAACAGAACTGCTACTTTGTTGTTGTTGATTATTTGTTGAGTTTACTAATGATGTTTTTCCTCCACCCATTTTTTAAAATTTAATTTTAGAATTAAATTTTCTAAAAAATTTTTTTTTAATTTTTTTAATTTTAAAATTATCTCGAACAAAAAGGATAAAGGCGATTTTTGAGATTTTTCAGTCAATCTTTTTTTAATAATTTTTTGAAAATTTTTTGAATTTTTTTATCTTCGTTATCATTGCTAATCTTTTGAAAAATATGAATCAACGATTCCAGAAGGGAAATGTGTGTTTGCTTGTTTGTTGTTAGTTTCCGGAAAATACAAATTACTCGTTCAAGCCTTACCGGAAAATACAAATAATTCTGGTTTTGTTTGTAAATTAATTTTGTTTCCAGAAAAACACACTAAGCAGAATCAATTAAGAAAATTAAATTTATTTTTTAGTTGTGAATAACCGGATAAGATTAAAATAAAATTACTCTAATGTCAATAACGTTGCTATAAAAATAGAGAAAAATAAAAATAAGAGAGAGAATGAATTTAAATTTTCTCTTAGAACAAACTTTGCTTATCATGGAAAAGATTCTCTATAAAAGACTACATCTAACCCCTTCTCTCTATGGGTTGCGACGATGTCGGGTGGGTGTAACTACTTAAAACAATTTTTGGGCTGGGAGAGTCCGGAGTCTCCCTTAAATTTTTTCAAAATTTTTGTACATTCTTCTTTTTGGGGAAAATCCGTCTAAGGCTAGAACATGGATCTCCCAAAATTTGACCCATACTGATCAGAAAATATCAACTATTGTGAGCATGGTAGAGCAAACAAATTTTAAAATAAATTTCTGGTTATACTAGTAATGCACTAACAAGATCCAATAGTCCTAGGGTCAAAGCTAACATAATAGTGACAAAAATCGGTTTTTAGACGAATATCTAGGCGGTAAAGTCTGACATTGTTTAGCTGCTCATTCATGAAAAATGTACATATTTTAAACAGAATGTACTCTAATGACCCGAGAATATATGAAGAAGAATGTCAGCTATAGAAAAAGAATGTTAGAAGAGAAAAACCTATTGAGAGCCTGTCTATACAAAATTTGTTTCCTATTCAAAAATTGAAAATATTTATTCGTTTAAAAGGTGCTCTATCGGTAACTGCACGACGAACCCTGCGGGGACTTACTACTAAGAATTTTTGGGATGGGGAGAAGTCCGGAGTCTCCCTTTAAAATTTTTTTCAGATTTTCAGACTTGTAAAGCATATAGCTATTTAATTCCTGAGGCTATGCAGTAGGCGGCGTGGTGTAATGGCTAACACATCAGTCCGGTCTACTGAAGATGCTGGTTCGCTCCCAGCAGCCGAATAACCTTTTGCACTAGCTAAAGGAGAGAAATAGCTATAGCCCAGCTGCTTTACTGACTCTTATAGGGGCTGGAAATTTTTTATTTTCACCCAAGTTTACTCTAATGTCTTGAGAATATGAAAGAGAATGTTGCTGAAATAGAAAAATAATATTAATGGAGAGAGAACCCTTTGACTATTCTGTCTACACAAAACCTGCTTCCCTTTCAAAGACTGAAAATATTTATAAATATTAATAGAGTTATACTTACTATTTCTTGCGACGGTACCGCGTTGGTTTAACTACTTAATAATTTTTGGGATGGGGAGAATCCGGAATCTCCCCTTAAATTTAGGTGTAAAATTTTTTTAGTAAAATAATTAGATTTTAATGAGGGTTGATGAGAGAATATTATATTCCTAACAAGAATCGAACTTGTGACTTGACAGTACTCGTAGACCTCTCTTGCTTATACACCTTTGCATGTGCTCTACAAACTAGAGTTGGAAAAAACGATACTTGTATCGGTACGATACTGGTACCCGAGACCGAGACCGATACTCAAAAACCCGATACCGAGACCGATACCATCATTTTGAGCCGAGACCGATACCGAGAAACGATACTGACCGAGACTAACAAACTGAGATACTGGACTCCTCCAAATTTGCCTTTTCACTTTTCTCTCTTGCAAGACTAAAATCTCTCAATCTTGGAAAAATTATTAGAAATTATCAGTAAAGCTGTGTTAATTATAGTTGAAAAGTCGAGTTTAGGAACATTATATGTATTTGGTCGATAAGAACAAAAAATTAAAAAATTTCCTGCCAAATCAAGTGTTTTTTTGGCAATTTGTGTTTTAGCCTTATTTCTATTTTTTCCATTGACAATTTGTGTATATGTTATAGAAAAATAATATTAAAAGAGAAGAGCATTTTAGCATGTCTGTCTAAACAAAAACTATTTCCCATTCAAAGATTTTTCCTAGTTTAAAATATTCATTGGGTAGTTGCACATTATACGCGACATACCCTGTCCTATTAACTACTTAAGAATTTTTGGAATGGGGAGAGTCCGGAATCTCCCTTTAAACGCATAAAGTCCAATTACTATTTCTGTTTGTGACTGGCTTTTAAATCGACAATTTTGATATTTCCTGCCAAAAATTAATCGTTTTTATGAAATTTAAAAATGAAAAATTTTTTAAAATGATATTTGTGTTTTCCAACAAATTCCTTAGTCTTTATTGGCATAATTTTGTTCAAACTTTATACCATTTTATGGTTAATTATTAGTTTGTTTTAACTATGTTTATCAATTTTTATTACCGACTTTATACTTAATTAATTTTAAAATATCTCGTCAACAAAATTGTGGAGAGAATATTTATAATATTAGAGAAAAGTAATATTATGAGAAAGAAAAGCATTATAGACCGGTTGTCTATACAAAACCTGCATCCAATCCAAACATAAACCAGGGGTGCAGCTCGTCTCGTATCTCGCGAAAATCTTGTATTTTTTTTGAGAATCTCGTGTCTCGTATTTTGTGCACAAGCTTCACCTCTGATAGGAACACTGTTAAAATTTAAAAACAATTTTATTTCTCAGATGTTTAAAAACAGACAAAAGATGATCAGATTTATAAAAATTATTAGAGGTATTAAAATAAACGTTCTTTCAGTATACACAACATCTTTTAATTACAACAATTTTCTAATATTCTTTTATTCTCGCTCCTGGCCTGGACACGTCATATACGTTATAACGGCATCTTAAAATATATTTAGATTAAATCATAAAATTGTAATTTCTTACTTCTAGCAATCCCAACAACTCCGCCTTTAGGCTCTAACCAAAGAAAAGCTTCTTGAGATAAATCCACATGGTTTTTTGGGCATTCTGGGCATTTATTAGTTATTGGAACGGTTAACCTAAAAAATACTTGTAGCTTTTTAAAAATTTTTTTTTCTCACGTTTTGCTGTTATAAGAAATTTTGACACATTTGTTTATGCAAATTTTGTCATTAAGCAAAACACGTTGGTCACTTAGACAAGAAGGGATCCATTGGGCACTACTGTCGAATAGAGAACCGGAGGCGGCTGCTGACATTTTTGGCTGTAAAAATGAATAATTTAAAGGTAATTATAAAACCTCAATAATGTTAGACTAATAACTTAGTTAACAATCCAAAACACAACGGGACTGGGCCGTTTTGGCGCGGGGCCTTTTGGCGCGAGCTTATATGATAGCGAGTTCGTTATCAAAAATGATAAAATTTTGCAATAATAACTCTCGTACCTTTATCTAAGTTCTCCAAAAATTTAAGAATTTTTGATCAAGAATTCCGGAAATTATGGACAAAAATATTGATATTCAGAAAAATGGCTAAGTTTTCGAGGTCTATCGACTATAACTTCAGAAATATTTGATGAAAAATTCGGAAATTTCTGGAGCAGGTAGTCAAGGATGTTTAAGAAATTTGAGAAAATTTTTATGAAGTTAGGTCTCGCCTAAGTACCACTTTTTTGTTCTCACGCCAAAACGGCCCGGCGCCAAAACGACCTCAACCCAAACACAACACCACCAAATATAGATAGACCATCCTTTAAAATTTGTTTAGGATGCCTAAACGATACCCAAATAATGAATTCACTTGAATAAAGCAATAATTTTTTCAACCCAAGTGATGCTCGAATGTAATTGGACACTAGTATAAGAATTGGCAACAGAATAGACTAAAACTGCTTAGGAGAATCCAGCGTTTTTATACTATAACAACACAGTGCCCTTGTCTATTTGAAATGGAATTCTGTTGATTCTAAGGGAGTGTTTATCTAATGCCCCTTATCTTTCCTCAATAATAGCCCAATATTCCTCAATAATACTCCAATAACTGCAGACCTGATCCGAATCGATCCCACAAGCTCCACGACCCCCAGCACCATAAAAAGTAAATATTCCATCCTCTATAGGCGAATTCAATTCCGAGTCAATTATTCCTGAAGCATTAGACAGCGAAAGACAAGTGTCTTTAGTTGTGATAACTTGGGGTACAACAAGGGAGTCTCCTGATGTGGATTGTGTTGTGGTTGTTTCTGATGGAACTATAGAGGATTTTGGTGTGATGGTGGTGGTGATTTGATTATTGGGTTGTTTTGTGGATTTTATAGTTGAATTATTGTTTGATGGGGGTGATTTAGTTGTTCCAGATGGAATTTTGCTTGATTTTATAGCGGCGGTGGTGACTTGATTATTTTTATTTTTCGTGGATTTTATAGTTGAATTATTACGAGATGAGGGTGTTGTAGTAGATTTCACAATGGTAGTAGTATCCACTTTTTTACGGTCACACCTTCTGAACTTGAGAACACAAATTTTTGGCATTCCACTTCCTCTAATGACTAGGCCAGCCTCTTTGTAAGAAGCCCCAGGTTCGATGCGAACATTTTCAGGGGTTCTGTAGTGGTTGTTGCCAACACTGCGCATGTTTCTGTTGCTTTCTGTGGCCGACTTAAATGTTTCAGTTTATACTACTCCCAGAAAAAATAAAATACTACCCCACTAGGCAACGACAAAAAGAACTTCACAGAGCAAATTGATGTATTCCCCTTGTTTGTGATTACGAGTTGGACATTGCTGCTACCCTTACTCGATTCTAAAATATTTTTAGTAATAGAAACGGAGCATGTATCAGCGCTTTTTGGAATGAGTAAAAGGGCAAAAATGAAAATTATATTGAGGATAGACATTTTTTAATTTTAATAATTTTTAATTAAATTTAATATTAAACATTGCTTGGTTGAATATCCAGTTGTATATAAACTCACAGTTCCGCCACGTACTCCACCTGTTATAAATTTCCGGAAATTAATATTTTAACAGCTTTTTTTATTTAAAAATTTTATTTTATAAATCCTTTTTCTATAATAAATTTATGAACAGGGATTGAGGTTGGCGTATCCGGATATCCGTATGTGAAAATGAGGATATCTGGAAATATACGTTCGGATAAGGATATCCGGGGATTTCCCAGGATCCGCCAAGCTTACAATGGATAGAGACTTTCTCTTCCGCTGAATTTTACACATTTTAATCATTCAGTTCTGCGTCTACAAGCAGAAAGGTACCGTATCATATTTGGTACTTTTCGGTTCTGCCACACCCCTCGCATATATTCGCATGTTACCTTTTATATTTTTCCTTCATATGTAACTTTCTCCTTTATTCAATTCCCTCAATTTTCCCTGTGGCATGTTCAATGAAGGGCATTAATAAAGGAAAGATTATTTTTTACTCAGTTTCCCCTTGAAACAATTTCCCCTAGAAAGGAGAAAGTCTGACCATTCTGTACGTATGAGGAAAGATACAAAATATAACCTGCGAATATATGGGAGGGGTGTTGCAGAACTGAAAAGTACCTCATATCTTTATGATAATATAAAAAATTTACAGGTCGAAATAATAATTGCCCTCCATAAAATAATTACCCCGCCTGCTTTTATTACACCCTCCAACAAGAGATCGAAACAATAAATACCCAGGGTAATTATTACAGTATATACGGTATACGTAAAATAAAATAAAAATGTTAAGAGAATAAAGATTTATGCCGCCTTGTCAATTTTAAATAAAAATTGAAAAAATCGAATAAACAAATATAAAATTATTATGATTTACACGCGTAAAGCGTCTTTCTTAACATTTTTCATATATACGACATTTACGGACCGACATTTGAGGACATTGCTAATATTTTTTCTGGAATGGGCGTAAAAAGGGATTCTTAATTTCAAAGAATCAAGCATAAAATAGGCTAATTTTAGAATGAAGAATAGAAAAATTTGTCAATTTTTGAAAGGTTATGGCATTAATACATATATTTTTGGCCAAATTTTTTAGTTTTCAAGCCATATGTTGACTTAATTGCAATAATTTTACTCAAACTTTATATTATCTTATGAATAATACAGCTCCTGTTTATCATTTTTATTAACGATTTTATACTATGTACTTAATTGCTTGTCTGGACAATGAGTCAGTATATAAGCGGACAGTGAAATATATCGGAGGATCATTCCAGAAGAATACATTACCAATATCCTCAAATGTCGGTCTGTAAATGTCGTATACCTGAAAAATGTTAAGAAAGACGCTTTACGCGTGTAAATCATAAGATTTTTATAAAATTTTTTATTCGATTTTTTCAATTTTATTTAAAATTGACAGGCGGGCATTACGATAGCGTACATATATTCCCTTATACATATATTCCCTTAACATTTTTATTTAATTTAATGTATAGTAAATATTTTTGTTAATTAATAAAAATTAAAAAAAGGATAGATTGTCCTCGTCAAAATATTCCAAAAAAATATACCGTATTATCTCTAATAGAATGCCCGGGCATTCTATTTTTCAATCACCTTCCAAAGGGGCATTCTATTGGAGGGGGGCATTCAAATGGAGGGGGGCATTGTATTTTTGATGAGTAAATTTTAAAGTTTGAAAAATTTTTAGATTAAAATTTTATAAAAAACTGTAAGTCTCATTTTGTCGTGTCCTGTTGATAACACGATAACCTAAGAGTGTTTTAGTTAAAAAAACATTTTCTATTAAAAACGGAAACATCCTTAGCACCTCTCTTTTCAACCGAATTCCCACCGGTGTCCAACCAAACAGATGTCTCATCACAGCCATAAATTCTGTTACCAAAATGTTTATTCATACGGAGTTGTCGAACATACATTAAGAGTTGGACAATTGTTTCCTCATATTGGACAGGAGGTTTTTGACACGCGGGAAATTTTTCTTTCCAGACAACCTAGGCTTGGCTTGAATTTATAAATATAAATATTTAGTATCTATCTTTAATACTGTTTCTAAATTAGAACCAGGCAAACTCTTTTTTGAATTAGAATGGGATGTATCCGTAATTACCTCTTAAAACTCTAAATTTTTGACTTGCTGAATGTAACAAATTAGCCTTCATATTCAATTGCATCAAGTTTTAATTTTAATGAATAGGAACGTCGATATTTTTTGGGTTTACTTAGACTAGGCTTATTAACAAAATCACTTATATTGAATAGTCATTCACTAAACTAGAAGATTCGAAGAAGATAAGAATTAAAAATAATTTCCATGTTGTTTAAATAATAATTTAAAAATGGCAAGAAAAATAAGTAAAAGTGAATAGTAAACGTTTTAAATATACATATGTAGTAATTAATATCTTTTTATATTTAGAAAAATTTCAGTAAAAAAGGGGGGCATTCTGTTAGAGGGGGGCATTCAAATGGAGAGAGGCATTCTAATAGAGATAATACGGTAATATGTATTAAGGGAATAATATTTAGTGGAGAGGGGAATTACCAGAAACGTCTATAATTTCCCAACTTTTAAAGTGGGAACTTTTCCGTTAACAAAATAAACTCGTTAATAATTAATATAAAAACTTTCATTTCTCAATTTTAGGATGAATTTAAAATTCACCTTAATTTTCTTTTTTCTCGTTTTATATGAGCGGATTGAAGGGGGTAGGTTATTTACTAATTTAAAACTAAGAAAAATTAATAAAAAATAAAAATAAAGGGTTGGTTACATTGAAAGAAGCACCTTCTATGTTGAATGGACAAATTCAACACGTGTTGACTTCTGATAATCCTGGAGCTGTTGAATATAGCGATATTCCTGTTTATGGAAGGAAAATGTTAAATGAGTTTGAAATGGGAGGGATTGGAGAGGATAAAGTGGAAGGAAAAAGTAAAGGAAATAAACAAGGGAAAGGAAACAAAAAGATTCGAAATGAGAAAGTTATACCTAATGTGGACGTTAAAAATCGGTTTGCTTTATTAGAAAAGCTAAAAGAAGAAGGGGAGGAGAAAGAAAATAAAAAGTTGAACAAAGTAATTGAGAAAACAAAAATTGAAAACAATGAAGAGGAGAAGGAAGAAGAGAATTGCAATCAAAATTGCGAGGAAGTTGTGTGTGAGGATGAGGAAGAAATTGGAGGTTTTTGGCTTTTTAAATTCTATGAATAAATAAAAAGCGTTTGAAGGTTTCGAGATTTCTCTTGCGCTCTAAAGCTGTTTAGAAATTTAATATACCGTAAATCCTCTAAAATAAGCCCCCTCCCCATAATTGCTGATAAATTGTTGTGTCCCCTCAGTTGAGTCTTCATGGAAGGATATAGAAGGATTAGAAGTGACTAAGAGGTTATTTGGGTATTAACAGGTGTATAAAGGAATCAACGTAGATATCGAGGGATTTGAGGTGATTAAGAGTGATATTGGAGGATTTGTAGGTTTAAGGAGATATATAGGGATAATGAAGATTTAGGGAGATTAGGAGGGATATCGGGGGGATTAGGAGGGATTTCGGTGATTAAGAAGGAGTTCATTGGATTAATAGTGATTTCATTCGATTAAGATGGTTTGAAAAGATATCCGGGGATTTTGTTGATATCAAAGATATTCGAAATTTGTAGGAATATCGTAGGATTAAGTGTAAAGTCATTGTAAAGTCATTCATCGCGAAAGATAAGGACGGATGTCTCGCTATATCCTCTAAATCTTATTAATCCATTGATAACACTTTTAATTTCTGCAACTGCTATGATACTGCTTTATCCCCGACATCTCTTAATCCTCCTTTGATATCACTCCTAATCCTCAAACCACAACAAAACTAATCCTCAATCTAATCCTCTACTCCTAATCCTCGGTTTCCAAAAATTTCGATCGGACCCCTTTGAAATTAACAAAAAATTCTAAAATTTTATTTAGAAATGAAAAATGGACATAATGAAGCAAGGTAAATGAAATTTTATATTATTAAAATATAAAATTGACAACAGCTGTCTTAAATATTAATTGAATAATTTATGTTTAAGAAATTATAATAATTATATAATAACTTTTAATTTTACAAATTAAATAGAAAGAACAGAAAGCTAAAAAGCTCTCCAAAGTCGTCAAGCTCTCCAAAATCACAAAGCTCTCCAAAGTCGTCAGGCTCATCACCTGGCTCTAAAACCCCAGCTGGAACTGGATATCATCCTTATTATTATGGAGGATCAACCTACTACTATGGTAGCTCTAACAGCTCTAATTGTTGTTGCAAAAAGAGGACCATACAAGCTGTAGTTTTTGGTTATTTGCCTCTCAGTTCAATAATGCTAATGGCACCATCCTTCGATCAACAACCTTTTATGAATTGCGTTGTTTGTAAGTCAAAAATGTTTATATTACTTTTACTAAGGAAAGACTAAACTCTTTCCCATTCTTGATTTAAGAGAGGTTTCGAGTTGATTAATTTACAATAAATTTTGGTTAAAGAGGAAGTACATATTTGCTAAAAGTGTGCGAGACTCTTGGTTTTGAGTTTTGACTCAAGACTTTTTTAGGGGTTTTTCTTTTTTTTTGGTCTTGGGGTCTTTGGGTCTTGGGGTTTTGGTCTTGGGGTCTAGTCTTGTGTATTGGGAAATTTTCGGTCTCGCACGCACGCCTCGCAAACCCATACGGCTCAGCTTGACGAGATTCTAGAGTTAATCAATTTAGTCTAGATCAGAGTTTCATTACCCTAATTATTAGGGTTGGGGAAAAGATGCAAAGTAGTAAGCGCTAACAGCTCTAATTGCTTTTCCTTTTCTTTTTACAACACTAAAAAAACATTCCATTATAAAAAATATGGCAAATAGCAAACCCATAATTTAACAAAATTTTAAAACAGCTCATGGCTTTAATGGAGG